TAGGGTTTCATACATCAGGGTCAGAGCAGGCAGCACTTTCAATCTTAAATGCCCTACAGACCTCTGTCCATTCTGTGAGTGTGTCTGGTTTTCTATGGTGCGCGCAGGAGTGACAAAGTTGTGTTTTCAGACTTCTAATGTTAGAAAAGAACCATCTCAAGAGAAATATCTGAGTGTGGCTCAGTCTCCAGTGGCTAAATGACTATATTTGGTCTGGAAGAATCAGCTGTTTTTTCTGAAAAGAGTCCATCTGCCTGACTGATTCAGCAGGCCCTGAACAGGCCTTCTTTAGCATGCTGATGACCAAGAACCTGGGGGCTCCTTTACCCTGCTCTGCTGTGGCCTATGGTGGACAGCCCAGGGGAAAAAGGATGTTTGGGGAGCTGTTCATGATCCTGGATTTAACTGTCCCATGGTAGATCTTAGAGAACATTGACATTTCACCTTGGGCGGTTTTTCTTAACAAAGGAATGCTTCTGATTGTAGAATAGGCCAGCTTTGGGGGAGGAAAGGTCTATCACCATGCTCCTGCTCCGCTTCCATTGTTGAAAAATCCACCTCAGATGCTGTGAAATGTAAGTCTTACAAACACCATGATTCTACAGCATTTAATCTATATGACTGACCTTGTGGCTTGCTATTAGAGAAGCGTTGAAGGCCAATTTGGGGATGCAGCTACTCTGGGTTTGGCTCTGGCAAAAGAGACCTGGAAAAATCAAACCTCAAACCTTTTTTACCAATTTCAGTGTCACAATAATTGATATCCTGTTTTTGTTCCTTTACTCTCTTCTCTTTTTCGCTTCCTCTTTCTCTTTCTTTACTTACTATTTCTCCCTTTCCTTCTCTCTCTTTTCCATCCTCTTTCATAAAACATTAATGGCAAATTATAAGAATATACAAAATGGGGCTAGTATGTGAAATGGAGCACTGGATCCCACATGGCTGGCTGTGTGGTTTGAGACCTGGATCCAACATCTTGAAAATCACACCAGATGCATGTATGCATGTGTGTGCCCCAAATCCTGAGGAGAACAGAGAAGAGGTTGCAGCATGGCCATCCCCAATGAAGGGTGATTTCTTACTTTCCCTCTCTGTGTCGCTGTCTGGTAAGTGCATGTGCCCTATGGCAAAAACCTAAATATGTGTGTGTATATATGAAAAAAAAGTATAAATGACCAAAAAGTCTTGACCAAGGTTCATCATACCCAGGAACACTTTCTCATACTGGCTGTTGTGGGATGAATAGTGTTACCTCAAAATTTATATGTTATAGTCCTAACTCCTCACCCCAGTAGCATAAAATGAGACCTTAAATGAAAATACTGTTGTTGCAAATGTAAATAGTTAAGATAAGATCATGAACTGGCCAATGGCATGGTGGTTAAGGTGGCTGGATCCCACATGGCCGTATGCTGTGTTGTTCAAGTCTCAGATCTAGTAGCTTGAGAGACTCACTGGGCACATGTGAATGCATGCCCAAAGTCATGAGAGGAGAGTGGAGGAGAACATAGTGGCCATCTCCTCCAGGGGTGCTTTCTCACCCTTCCTCTCATAACATCCTTCCTCCTTCCAGTGAGTGCATGTACCCTATAGCCAAAAAAAAAAAAAGAAAGAAAAAGTCACATTAGAATAGAGCAGGACTTTAGTCCAGTATGATTGGTGTCCTTGAAAGAAGAGGAATTTTGGATGCAGACACTCATGCAGGAATAATGGCGTGTGAAGAGGAGAAAGCAGAGATCGGAGAAATGCATCTACAATCCGAGGAATGCCAAAGATCACCAATAAACCTAGGAAGGTGGCCTGAATGGATCCTTCCCCAGCACCTGCAGAGGGAGCATGGCCCACATATCTTGAGGCATGTGTGCATTTCTGACTTCTGGCTTCCAACTCTATAATTAATTGCTATTATTTTAAGTCACTCATTTGTACTTTGTTAAAGCACCTTAGGGAATAAATACTCTGACCATTATATTTCTGAAAATATTTTGGGAAGGGTACCACTTAAACTTGCTTTTTAGTCAATAAGTAATTTCTTTAATTACTTGTTTGCAAATCATAATCAGGATTATGAACAATTTATTTTAAAAATCTTAGGAGGAGATGTTTGTCTGAAGAAAAAGTGGACATTAGTTGACTAGAAGGAGTGAAAAGGCCTTCCAGGTAAAAGGGACAGCATAAATACAAATATTAAGTTAAATATTGCCCTGACAATGAACTTTTGTCCCCAGAGCTGTTCAAGCTCAGTCTAGCTGAAGGGTTGGTTCTCAACAGACTTTCTCCTTCTGTGGGTGATCTTAGGATATAAGGTGTCCAAACTCCACAAAAAGGTTTTTCTGTTCTCCACCCAAGTACTAACTTACCAGCTTGGTGGAGTTCCCACTAATGCTGTTGTCCTACTTAAGCTGAAGCTCTGAATAGTTCAGGCTAATGTTTTATAAGAAGACTAAGAGATCCCCAGGACACTTGATATGCTGGATAGTATGGTTATTCAACCTCCCTCCTCTTCCCCTTTTCTTCATTTCTTTTTTTCTTTCTTTTTTAAATTTCTCTTTTCTCTCTTTTTTCCCTCTTTTTTCTTTTTTAATTTGTCAGAGGGCAGGTCCACTCACTGGAAAGAGATAGGGGAAGGGAGAGGAGAAAGTGTCCCTCATGGAGAATGGTCAGACTGCAATCTTGTGGGATTCAGCTGTCTTAACCACTATGCCACCAATTGGCTCCTATTCTTTTTCTTGCTGGAAAGGTTGGAAAATGAAAATCTACATTTCTCAGACTCCTTTGCAATTAGCGCTCTGAATGTGATTAGGTTCCCGAAGTGGATGTAGCTGCATGAGATAGAGAGGGTGGAATTGAGTCAGAGACCATCTCAGTGCCCCTTTTGGCAAAGCAAAGTCATGTAAGGATTTCTCAGTATCAGGAAATACTTGTGGCAGTAACAGTACATTCTTTTTCCTACCAGCCAACTTTTGATCAAGGTTGGGGTACATGGATTCTTGAACTTAGCAGTTCTTGTGGAAGTCTCTCAAGTAATGAACACCTAGTAGATTGGCCTGTAGTGCTCTGGACATCATTTCTGGAGGACCAGTCCATACCAGCTCTTCTAGCTCTTCCAATAACTTAGCAGGCATCAATTCCTTTCATTAAATCCCTTCTTGCTCAAGTACCTCCACTGCATTCAATTTATCACACTGAACTCTTGTCTACTGCATTTTGCATCTTTCTAGATACCATTATATCATGTGACCTTCACAACAGCCCTGTGGATCAGATATCATTAGATTCAGCTTACAGACAAGGAATCAGAATCAGAGAACTTTCAAAACTTGTCTGCCCAATCCATACATATAATTACGTGGCAGAAGTGGGGTGGATCTGAGCAATTTCTGACTCCAAGTTTTTTTTCTTTTTCTTCCTGTTTCTGCACCTGACATACCTGTATTCAGATATAGTGTGAAGATCGAATTTACAGGACCCCGTTCAGGCCCTCTATCATGTAACCACCAAGTTCGTAGGTGCCCACTTCAGGAATCATTGATGCTGTGTGCCTGGGAGTGAGCCCAGCAGTAGCTGGAGGGAGACAGCTTAGCAGAGACTTCATTTATGTTTGTGTCTAACCCTATAGTGGGAAGAATATTAAGATAATCCCCTACCAGTGAGTCCACTCTTGCATAAGAGTCTCTCTCTTAAACATGGATGGGAACTGTGACTTGTTTCTAGCCAGTAGCCTATGACACAATGAAGGGATGTTACTCCTGTGACTAAGTCACATTATGGAGGTTCCATCATAGCAGACTGGGAGTAATATATTTTCATACTGGCTGTGAAGAAGTGAGCCACATGCTGTAAGAGGGCTACATGGCAAAGAACTGAGAGTAGCCTGTAGGAACTTAAAGCAGCCTTGGTTGATAGATGGAAAGAAATCCAGGATCTCAAGCTACATTCACAAGGAACCATGTGAGCTCTGAAGGGGGCCCTAAACTACAAATGAAGCACAGCCTGGGCTGATGTCTTGATCTCAGCTTAGAAAGACCCTAAGTAGAGAACCCAGCAAAATCAGGCCCAGACTCCTGACCCATGGAGATGGTGAGATATTAAATGTATGCTATCTTAAGTTAAGGGTGTTATTATTTGTTATACAGCAGTAAAAAGCTAAGATGCACACAGCCTCTCTCTCAGATGGCCAGTTGCATTTTAACAAGGAGTGAGAAGGAGCAGAGCTGAGTAGCTAGGTCTTAGTCTACAGAAAGAGAGACTAAGCAAGAAAGAGGAGAGAGAGAGAGAGAGAAAGTGCTTCCTAGTGGTGCATAGGCATGTGGCAATCCTCCTCCATTTCTCGATCCAGTTAGGATTTTGGGTGTGTATACGTATGCCTGTGTGCCTGTATGCACATATGCACACATACACAGAGCATGTGTTTTAAGCCATTGGAGCCAGGACTTGAATGGATGTTGGCCATATGGGATCTAGTTTTCTATGCATATCATTTAACTGCTGTGCTACAAGGCTGACTATAGGTCACAGTCTTTATTCAGTTCATACTTTAGATATTTAAGGAGAATAGAACCTCTTACTTTCCTATTTCTAATCTTGAGAGTCCCATCCAGCTGTGTACTGGACAGCTTAGAAAGTTAGTTTTTATCATACTTAGCCTGTAGCCTAGTGGTTAAGGGAGCCAGATATGCATGGCTGACATCATTTGAATACCACCCTCGCATCTTGGAAAAACACGATGGATGCCTGAGCATACTTTCTCTCTCTCTCTCTCTCTTTGATCAATAGACAGGTTTATTGATACATTGCTCTTCAAAGACAGTTGAAACACTTTTAAACTATAGTCCAGAATATACAACCGTGTAGTATAGACCAACAGCCAGGTCTAAAATAAACTGGCTTCTTACCACAACTATCCTGTAAACAATGCCACTCCTCTCCAAAATGACTATAATCTCACATGAAAACAGTTACTGTAGGGTAACCAGAAACTTAGTTTTGTGGCCAAAAGAAAAATAGCAATCAAGTGGTTGGTGAAAGCAGGAAATTCAGTGCCCTTCACTGTGCTGCTTTGCTCTTCTTACTCTTGCTCTTTTCCTCCCTTTTCTTCAGCCCATCCATGTTAGCTGTCAATAGGTTTGAATATACCATCTGAAACTTATTCACCTCTTTAGAGCTCATCACAGTGTTGATCTTCTTTTTCCCATCAGTAGCTTTTAACAGACACTTGTTGTCTGAAGGCTCAAAGCCCTCCACAGTACCTTTCTTTCTAATGCGTTTAGTTTGATCATCATACTTTTTCAAGGTGACATACGCGCTGCTCAACAACCAGCGTTTCTGGAAGAGCCTGGTCAGCTCTGTAGGGAACTGCTCACTCTCCAGCAGCACCATCCCATCACCGCCGCTCCGGCTCCATCCTCTCCCGCTCTCTTGCCCTGCCTTTGGTGAGTGCCCATGCCCTTTGGCAAGTTTTTTTTTTTTTAAAGCTTTTATCATTTAACGATATTTTAGTCTTTTGCTATTTAAATAATCTCTTTTGGGAAATAGTTGGTCATTTGGATTTCTCTCTTCTCTCCTCCTCCTCAAGTTAGTGTCTGGTTTATAAAGAAGAGTTTAGAGTAGGAGGAGGCACATAAGTAGATTGATTAGATTCCCTAGGAAATAGACTCAGAAGTGCCAAAATCTACCTTCAGGAGGTCTATTGGAACATACTCTTGAAAGTAAACCCCTTTGAAAAGTGAGGAAAACATTTCCTGCAGTGTTGGGGGAAAACTAAACTCAGGGGAAATATATTAGGAAGACCTTTTGCCACAAATGAAACACATTCTCCAATTTAGCTCTACCAATAAAGCTGATTTTAAAAAAGACCATTTCATTTTAAAATCTTGCTTCTCAATTAGTTTTAAACTCAGAAGGGCAAGACAACAGTGTTACTGGTCTCGTGAAAACCCAGCCAAATGATAAAGGTGAAGATGATGATGACAATAACAATGAGAGTAATATTGAGACCATTGAAAGTGCCTGTGTTAAGAAATGTATTTGTAGCCACTGGTTCATACCTATACCATACTTTCTTTGTGATTTCAGTTTGGAAGTTCCTAGTATCTTTTTGAAAAATATTTTTTTGTTTAATTTTATTTATTATTATTATTATTTAAAATTTGACCAGAGAGAGACTGGGCAGGGGATAAGAAAGCAAGTCGTCAGGTCCAGGACTTGAACCAAGGTCCAGCCACATGAAAGTCTAGTCTCTTAACCACCATGCCACCTGCTGGCCCACTCCTAGACTCTTAAAAATTCGTTTTTATGGTCATTTGAGTACACAGTTAACACTGAACCTGTAGTTCTGTATTTTTCTGTGTGGCTCAGGAGTCCCAAATCATTGGTTATAAGCTCCATTGACTTTCTTGCACATGTCCTGGATAGAAGGTTACCCAATGGTGAAACCAAGACCTGGAGATATGAGCAAGTTCTGAGCAATCATAAACCACAGCATCCTAACTGCATGTATTTAGTGGAGATATTGAAATGGCATTTGAACCTTCACCTCTACCCATCTGAGCAGCTCAGCAATCAAGACTTCTTGTTGAAAGAACTCTCAAGGAGGAGTCCCAATTACTGTGAATACTAGTGCAAGCTCTGCCATTGAGTGAAGCTAACTCTGCACAACTGAGAGTTTATCCTGGAGACAGCCTGACTGGCCTGTGATCTCTAGTGAGTGACTTTATCTCTCTGAACACCAGCTTCTTTATCTACAGTGTGAAGCTAATCATAGTTCTTGCCTCAGAAGATAGTTGGGAGAATAGGATGAGATAACCATAAAAAGTGTTTATTGCAATGCATGGCACATAGTAAAAATCCATACGTGTAAGCTGCTGCTATTAGATGACTAAGTAGAAGATGGTTTAAGCTCTTAGTGCTTAATTATTTGATGAGAAAAATAATAATACCTGCACTAAAGATTGCTGGGGAAAACTAGATTAATGAATAAATAGAAAAGTATTTTTCAACATGCAAATGTAAAGCATCATTATAAAGGGCCTTCAAAAGTTCATGGAAAGCGCATATTATGAAAAAGTATAGATGGGTTTACAAAGATTTGCACCAAAATAAACTTAACTTCATTTTTTTAGGAGAGTTTTTTTTGTTTGTTTGTTTGCTTTTGTTTTCTTTTGCTATAGGGTGTACGCACTCACCACCACACCACCTGCTGGTCCCTGTTTTGTAGTCATTTCTAACACAGGATAAGGTTAAAGAAGAACTTTTGTTGCAATGATTGTGACTTCTTTTTACATAACTCAGCACAGTTTGGAGTTACTTGTGTGTCAGTTTGTTCAAGTTTTAATCTGGCAACAGCAAGGTGACCTAATCAAGAATGTACATCTGCTTGGGAGAGCTGGTGAGCAGGGTGGGGTCTCACTCAAGAATAGTGACTGAGAATGCTTCCATCATCCACATCTCGGTCAGTACAGAGGCTCTGCTAATTTCAAAGAATTATTTTATTTTATTATTATTGTCATCCAATTTGATGAGAGAGAAAGAGAGAGAGAGAGAAAGAGAGAGAGGAGAAAATGAGAAGGCAAGCCACCAGGTCCAGGTCCAAACCTTGAACCACAGTCATCCATGTGGGAGTCCTGAGCCTTAATCACCACACTACCTGCCATCCTGAGGCTCTACTAATTAGAATGCTGAATGCTAGAAGTGGGCATCAAGGATGAAAATAGTCATCTATTAATTATCATGTGAAGTGTTACAAATGGACTCTGGTGACTGAAAGAATGAAAGATATTTAAGATTGGTGGGTTGGAGAACCCATACCTTGCTCCCTTGCATGCATAGGGTATAAGACCAGTGAAACTGTTAACCAGCATCATTAGAGAATGCATGGGAGATTTGATTTCTAGAAGTTCCTGAGTGTTTAGGTCTCAGTCTAGGAAGATTGCCTGTTGTCTGATACTGCCCAAGGGCTAGTAAAGGCCTGCCCCTAGAATGATGCTAGGTTTATCTGGAATGTGATTACAACTCTCAGTAATAAGGAAACCTCTGACTTTATTGAACTTACACGGCAGGTGGTGTGCATAGTTCTGTGCTTGGTTTGCTAAAGAGAACATGCTAAATAAATGCCCATATGTGGTAGTATTTTATCTCAGGTTCACTTTGTTTAAAATCTGGCAGGGAGTCGTAGGGAAGTAGGGAACTCTTGCCCATCTCAAAACCTTTGAGTGCTAACTACCTAAAGGAACCAGTGTTGTGCAGGATGAAAATATTAGTTCATGGCAGATTTTAAAAATAGCCATTTAGGCCAGAACAAACAAGTTTATAAATTCTACTACTTGTTGTACTTTTATTGTCAAGGTTAATTGTTGAGTAATGGTTTATGACTCAGTATTCACAGGCAGGCATTGCCACAAGTTAAATAATATGACTCTTATTTCACTTGAGGAATACATGTTTAATAGAGTCGTGAGCTCAAATCCTGACTCCACTACTGGGTTTACCTGGGGAAAGTCATATAACCTCTGTGAGCCTCAGATTTCTCTTTTATAGCATAATAGCTATCTTTTTCTAAAAATAATTCATTTATTTAATTCCATTTGTTATTATTTTTTAATTTGACCAGAGAGAGACAGAGAAAGAGAAAGGGAAAGCAAGAAAGCAAGCACCAAGTCTAGTCAGCCATGTGGGAATCCAGTGCCTTTAATCACCACACCACCTGCCAGCCATGATAGCTGTCTTTAATAGTGTACATCCGTATATATCATGCTGCCTGACGCAATAACTTTGTGAATCAGGAAGGATAGCCATACATTTTGATGTTCTTATCTCCAATTTATACATGGGAAAACAAAGTTCAGAGAATTTAGGTGGCTTGCCCCAGAGCCATGCATACTAAGAGGTGAACCTACTATGTGAATTGAAATCTTCTGAATCAAATCCCTAGTTTCTCTCTCAAATCAGAGCTGGAATGATAAAGAGACGCATGATTTAGCCACCTCAGTATTAATAATCTGAAGACTATACTGTATATTTGGAGTTTCCTATCTGGGGGCAGAATATAATATACTGCCAAAAACCTGAATCACTTGGCCATGTACTGAACTATGCTCACTTGGGTTTAGCAATAAAAATGTAGTCCAGTATTTGAAATGAGAGAAGTCTTTTTGAGCCAGCCCACTTTTGACCAGCCCACTTTTCCATTATTCCCATTTCCTCTAAACTCTTGGTATGTTGTTTGTTTGTGCCATTTATTTGGAATATAGCCAATATGGCTCCACAGCTGGTGTGACTTGGTGGTATTGTTTTATCACTCCCGCCCAAGGAAGTATGACTTACAAAGCTCCAGGTCTCCAGGTGCAATACTCCATGACCCATCACTCTGTACCAACTCTGAGATCTGGCCCTGATTGTGAATTCTACCCACTTGGTCCACATGTGGTTGCCTCCCAACTTTTGTATTTTGGAAGGGGGCAAAATGGTCTCTGCTCTAACATATACATCTTATACTGTTGCTGTGCATACCAAGGAAGGATTCTGGAGGTGACAGCACAGTGGCTGTTTCCAAGTCTGGCTACCACTATCATTGTTCCAGAAATATTCGTGATCAGCAAACCATTGTGGACTGACCAAAGCTTCTTCATGGTTGATGGGTTTACAGGGATTTATTCCTGCTTTTAATTTTCCTTTATCAAATGACTCACCCCTTTACAAATAACTCCACTTAAAGAAGGAAGCATCCAGGAAGTAGTAAACACAAAAGAAGGGATTTTTCAAGGCTATGGCCAATAATTTAGGGCATTTTGACTAAGTGATACCTTATACCATCGAATGGTTTAAAAGGCTAGAAAAATGGCCTCTGTCAACAAGCTCCCAAAGCCAGGAAGTATTTTCCTGCAATGAGCTCAATTCAATCACATGAATGGTCCTCTTAGACTGTGACATTTTCCTTGTTTTGGCCTGATGGGGCTGAACATTCACAGCCTTGAAATGTGCCAGTTTTAGCCATTGTTTCACTTTCTGAGTAGCCAGGATGGGCCCAGAGAGGTGGGGGCCAGTGGAGGGGGAAGGAGTTTTGGCGATCATCTGGTTTAACCTTGGCATAGCTGGAAAAGTTTATGCTAGGCCCAATATAATGGTCTTGAAATGCGCCTGATAGCCCAGGTTTCCTCCACCAGGAAGGATTCCTTGGGGGCTAGGGCCTTTCCCAGGGCTGCCCACTGTCCTCACACATAGAAGGGGGTATGAGCAAGTGATCGCAGCCACAGAAGCTGAGGCTGGACGCTCTCTGCCAGTGTCTGAATCACTCTGGTTTATGGAACACCTGTTTCAGCTGTATCAAGTCAGCCCATGGGTGATACCTACCTCACAAGTTTAGAAGCCATAAGTTGTTTTTCATGAAGTGAGTCCAAGTTCTGCAGTGAAGGCATTTGGGAGAGTTGACACCATTAGAGTTGGGATTGTGGAAGAAAATATGGGCAAATAGTAAGCTTTGAAAAGTTTGCTGCACATTAGAACCTCTGGGAGAGATTTTAAAAAATGTGAATTGTGGTAGATTATGAAAAATGATCGTGATCTTTCACTCTCCTTTTGGCAATGGGGTTTTTGGTTTTCCCACCAAGAAGTAGAGTCTTGTCCCAGCGGCAGTGACACGGGCAGTAGGGTGCTGCTGTGCTATACTGGATCCATAAGGGGAGGCCTGTTTTTCTTGACTCTTCCATAAGGTGACAATAACGTGCTCCTCCTCTTTTGACTCATCATGTGTGACCTCATATGGGATCTGTACAAAGTTAAGGTAAGGATAGATTATCGCTAAACTTTCAATAAATAAAGAATAAGGTCACCTTTATGGGGCACTCTTTTTTTTTTAATAATAATTTTTTTTTTTTTTGGAGAGATTTTCACTGTAGGGAGCGTGCGCTCGCCAGACAGACAGAGAGAGACATAGAGACAGAAAGCGAGAAATCACCCCCCAGGGGGGATGGCCACGCCGCAATCCCTTCTCCTCCATTCTCCTCTCGGGATCTTGGGCACGCATGCACACGCGCCCGGCGTGAGTTTTAAGCCACCGGGTCCGGGACACGAACCGCAGTCGACTACGTGGGAGTCCAGTGACATAGCCATTACGCTAACTGCTGGTTCCCGATAATAATTTTCTTTAACTTTATTTATTTATTTTAATTTGACCAGAGAGGAATAGAGTGAGAGAGAAGGTGGGGGGAGTGAGAAAGCAGGCTGCCAGGTCCAGGACTTGAACTGCGGTCGGCCATGTAGGAGTCCAGTACCCTTAAGTCCCATGCCACCTGTTGACCTCAAAGCTTTTGTGATTTATAATGAGGGTGACAGATTTGTAGATCATGCAGTGTGCCTTGTCCCCTGTTAAAGATGAAAGTTGCAGTCTCACTAAGTAGAACAACTTTACTGTTCTTCATAAAACCAAAATGGAAAGCATTAGGAAGGTGGGTGCTTAAGAAGTCATTAGCAGGGTAGGTGAAAAGAGAAAGAAGGCAACTGAGCCATGGTCAATGAATTAAAGCAGTTTATTTGACATTAATTGCAGAATTTACAGCACTACCATTTAATGATAGGAATAAAAATAGAAAGAATCCAGTGTAAGCAATGCCACAGACAAAACATCGGGGTGGGAAATGAGCAAAACTGAAAATGCAATTAACATTCAAAGAAATCTTCCAAAGAACTGGGAGCTTATCAAGGGGTGAGCATCTCCTCGATAATGAAGTGTGATCCTCATCCCCGCCAGGATTTTAGGGCAGCCATCAACCATTTATACCCTGTTGACCACCCCTGGAAAATCTTTCAGCACAGTCTGACTCAATAAGTCAAAGAAGGGGCAAAATCTGGGTTCTAATATGTTTTGGAAATAGAACTCAGGGTGAAAAGAAAGTCAGAATGTGGATTCATGTGTGGGTGTTCTTTTCAAGACAAAAAGGAGCGCACATCTTAAGGGTGCGTTTTCCTGATTTTAAACATGAGCGGTGATGTCAAAGTCATTGGAGATACTATCTGTAAAAGGAAACAGAACAAGAGGCGCACCTGCCACTCTCTGAGCTCTTGTCCTCTTGGAATCTGGATGGAACCTATTGCATTTCTACTAGAGGGGTGTGTTCTGAAATAGCCAACCAGAAGGCAAGTGGCAGAACACGGTGTTTCACAGGGAGGCTCACATTCTTCTGCCTTGTTCCTATGGTCTAATGGTTCTCCTCCATTTTAAAACTTTAAACAGAGCTGGGGCCAATTTTTCTCTTTTTAACCTTCTCTACCCTTCACTCATTATAGTCACTTCTAAATACCCTAACTCAACAAACAGGTTAGAAGAAAGAATTCAAGTTGTGCAGGCCAGCATGTGAAATTGAAAGGTGTTTTTAAATACCAAAAAGAAATGCATCTGAGGCCAGGGCCCACCATGAGAAAATAGCCAAGACTGATTTGGATCCTGATATCACAAAGGGATGAAAGAAAGGACATTGGAACTTGCTTTCACTCACTTTGGTGGGAGGATTCACTGACCAAGAACGAATCTACAGTGTTTGTGTTAGTTAAGTATTAATATGGGTGGAAATATTTGAATAGGAAGAAGGATGAAAAATATTGTCTGGGTTCTTCCTGTGTACCCTTGTCAAACACCTTCTTTGAGAAAAGCAAAAACTGAAAAAGAGAACTAACTGAAATATTGGTTAATCCTGAATTACCTTTGTTTATAAAATTCTTTGGCATCCCAGACCTGGAGAGGAAAGACTGAACTGCTCTTAGATTGAGAGAAAAAGATTTGGCAATTGAATATATGGATGAAAAGAAAAACAAACACCACAATTATGCTTGTACCACCTCAGTCTATGCCTCCCAACTTCTTTATTTGTCTGTGGGAAACTTGTGTTCCTGGTTCAGAAATTTCAATAGGGTAGGTATTTTACCACCTTTTATGATAAGAAGTTTGGTGGCACCATTTGGTTTTGTTAATATTAAACATCATAGTAAAGAAAGAAAATAATATTCTACATTCAAGGCAGTATCTGCTAATGGTATGACTCCCAACCCAATAGCTGAATAGTCTTTGGATACTTAACCTTTCTTCCCAAGTAGGAGGTTCCTTGTCATAATCTGAAAAAAAGCTCTCCTAGACTGTAAGTCAAATGGCAAACTGAGCCATACTAAGGAATATGGGGAAAATCTCCAAATTATGCAAGTTTTTGAACAGGACTTTCAAACAGAAATAAAGTAGGCATTGATAGGCCAGGTTCTCAGTTTGGTCTGTCCCCCAAGGAAGCATGGGCAATGGGCTTGGCCCCGTGAGATGGAACAAGGCACAGAAAGATAGTGGGGTCTCCTATTTCCTCTTGTATTTTTCTGGATCAAAGAATTGGGGCTAGCTAAAATACAACTTGGGAACGAAGCAATGCAGACTCCATCCCATATCTTTCTTTATTCTTCAAAGAATCATCTTCCAAAGTCAGAGGGAAAATAGCTAAATGGGATGGGTGGCAAGGGGCTTCTGGTTTGGATTGAGGGGCCCTTTGCAACAGTCAGGATGGAGGAAGATGCCTCAGTGAAAGTCCAGGTAAAGCCGACTACAAGATATGAGTCACAATAGCCTTGCTTAGGCAAAGCCCAGCCTGGGGAAAGGTGAATACCTGATGGGTTACAGAAGATTCAAGGTTGCTATTTTTCTCTTCCTGGCCTTTTCTGTGAGTTGTGGTCTGTCTTTATGCCAGCATGTGCTCAAGATCAAGGGATCTCAGAGAACTGTTGGAGTCCAGAGAGAGTGAGGATAGAGAGTTTTGGCCCAGCTCTCCTTAAAGCTAACAGATACGAAGAGTTCTTCCTAATCTCCACCTACCTTCTAGTGCATGACCCCTCCTTCCGCAGGCCTGGCCAGGCCAACATTCCCCCATGATGGCAGGAGAGAAACCCAGGTCAAGCTGAGGTAACACCATAGTTCTGTGTCTCCGAGGAAAAGGACATCCACTGGCACAACACATTGAGTAAAAACCCTTTAATAACAAAATACATTCACGATGTAGCTACTTCAGTTGTGTGGAAAACTCAGCTTACACTTGATTCAACATATCACTTTCCACAAAGTTGAAAAAAAAAGACATAAAATGGCATAACAAAACATAGCTTGACTTTCATCAAATAAATCTTGACAAACCCTAGTGAGCCAGACCCATGCATTGCCTATAATAACAAGGGCTGCGCATGCTCATGTCTGACACCCCTCTGTTTTCTTTGGATCGAAAATACATTTGAACTTTGTAGACACTACAATATCTGCATCAAGAGTAGAGGTTTGTAGGTTCGTGAGTGTGAGGAAAACTTTACTGAAACAAATATCGATTTTATTGCAGAAGAACATATAAAGCTTTCTGGAAGATTAAACACTATTACAATCATCAACTGTCTTACAAAAGCCAATTTAAAAATTCTTGTATCCATTCCCATCTTTGGCAGATTAACACAGGGAAAAATAAGACTATATTACAAAGCTTTCATTATCACAATCTACTTTATAATGCCAAATAAAAATATGTTTCTTTGTATTGTTAATGAAAGCTTATTCCCAATAGATTCTCATTGACAGATAACATGAATGCTCTACTGTTGGTGATTTCCAAAAGTAGGCAGATGCTGTTTTTCCACCATTGTTTCCTAAGCTGCACTCTCTTATGCAAAATCAAGTGTGCTTGGCAGTGGATTTGGCTTTATGTCAAGCATACTGACTGGGAAATAGGTATGAAACTTGAGAATGGGTCTCAGAATCCAAATGTAAGAATGAACAAGTTTGCCCAATCCTCTGTAACTGAAAAACATGTTTTGAGATATAGAGACCTCAGATAATCGGGTGATTTATAGCAAGAAGCTTTTCCTTAACTGCATTTCAAAACTTCTTTTTTACTTCCCTTTAGAAGACATACGTGACATTGTGGGGTAGGTAAAAAGTTAAGAGTCAACTCTGACTTCAGGGAGGAAGAACCATGAAAGAGCTGCACAGGTGAAGTTTTGGAGCACAGCCACATGTGCCTGAATCTTTGGAATAGTTGGTGGAGATGTCCAGGAGAGTGGACCAAAAAGCAAGAGAAGAATTATCGATACTGATGCCATTTGAGTTTCTACTGGGAACTGACCTGATAATAAAAATACTCAGAGAAACCACACACAGTCGAACATAGCCATTCCCAAGCAGAGATCCAAGAAGGCCGGAACACATGAATTAGCATCTCCATAAACATGGCCAGTTAGATCTGAGGTCATAAACATAAAGCCAAAATAACTTCTGTGAGTGGGAATTCAGATACAAAGGTGAGGTGTTTTTCAATGCTCATTTTCAAACCCTTCTTGGATACGGTGATATATCTGGGTTATGAGGATCCCAGTTTGTGGAATGCAAGTTGGCTAACTCAAACTTGGAATGACCTTTCTCATCACAAAATTTGAACCCAATTCAATCTGACTCATTTTGAAATTCCAATATAAAGGTATTTTTGAGGTGAGACAGACATCTTCCAATAAAACCAATATTACCACTGTCTGAGGCTGAACTGTGTACATTTTCACAGTTTAATGTATACACAACTGTTCCACAACTGCTAACAAACGATAGGCGCCCATGCATAAATAAAGTCCATTGAACCAATGGGGAAGATCTAGTTCAAAATGAAAAATGTTGCTATTAAGAACCACAATGCATCACACTGCTAAAGTTTTAGCCTCATGCATAAAATTAGAGCACTGATTGGCAGTTGCTAATTATAATACTACACTGTTAACACAGAACAATTAATTGTTCAGACCAAGTAGCACGAATGTAGAAAATAATTATTTTTTTAAACAGAGCAAATGAACACAGATTGTTTCTTCAGCAAAATATGAAACTGTAAACTTTGGGCTCATTCTGCAACTTTCCCCAATCCAGAATAAATAAAATCCAAAGGGGAAAAAAAAAGAACATACATTTTTTTAAGCGCACCTTTTCGTCTATTACAAAAGCACAACCTAAAACGTATAAAGCTTTTTTTTCTTTTTTTCTTTTTTTTAAGTCACAGTTACCAAAAGAAACAGTGAATAATTTATTACATACGCTATAATAACATTACTCTAAACACTATTATCTATGAGGTATATCTGAGAAAATTCGGTAAGGAATTGCGCGGTCTGCATTGCCAACATGCCCAGGTTCATATTAAAGCTTTGGAACCGTGAAGAACTAGAAAAGGGGGAAGAATGAGGGAGGCAGAAGGAGACATAGAGAAAGAACCTTTGGTATTAGTACAAATCTTGTTCTTTGCAGGGTTGCATTGCAAAGCACCACAGTACAATAAGCCCACCAATTGACTGTATGGAGGCCCAGTTGAAGCTGAGGTATTCACAGGAAGGATTAAACAAAGCACAGAGAGGTCCAGACTGGCTAAATCGTTGCTTTGGTTCAAGCAAGGCACTCGTCCCGTGGTTATGTCACACTTTGCAAGTGAAGCATGAGGCTGAGGGGATTGCGGAGGAAGGGGCTGCCAGTTGGGATGTTTTCTGTGTTCAGCTGCCATCTAGGCTTTCTCTTGTAGAGGACTTGGGGAAGGAAGGCCAGGGAAGGGGAGGTTTGCTTAGAGGGGAGCACATCGCTGCTCTGCTCGGTGAATTAGATCATCTTTGTTGTGTCTCCCAGGTGTTCTGAGAATTCTATTTCTCATAGGAATTTGGGGAGAAAAAAACAAAGCAATTTGCTGGTTGGAAGAAGGCCTTGCAGGTTTGCCTTGTATAGGGAGAAAAGAGTGAACTTTGAGCTTGTTTGGACAGGCATGAACTTTTGCATGTGTCAGGATGGTGTTTGGAAACTTTCCTACAGTGTGTCGGGCTGTCTGCTAAATTCCTGTGCTAGCTGTGCTCTGTTGTTGCACAGAACTGGGTTGACTGGCCTTTTCCTTTCTTATCATCTTGGTCTAAACAGCCTCTTAGAAAAGCTCAAAGAGAACTAGATTAGTAAACTGCTCAATAAGGAGCTATCTGGACTAGAAGTGGATTGTTGTATGTATCTAAAACCCATTTGGTCAAAAGCTGAGAAAGGTTCATTGGCTAATGTTTAAATCACTTTGAGGAATGAATATTAACGGTGATTTAATCATTTAATGGAATCAAAATAAGCTTAAAGAAGACAAATTAATTTCATGAGTAAGAAGGAAAGAAGCAATCAATTTTAAGTAACCATTCTTAAACTGGCATACCCCTTCTTCTGAAATTTTGGGGTCATTTTTTATTTATAATGAATAATCCTCTCCCATCAAATGAGGTAAGGCATAAACATCTCTCATAAATATAAAGCTGGGTTAGAAATGAAATGTAAACACTTGTAAGTGAAAAGGAAAAAACTGAACAGCTTAATGGCATAGGATCAAATTCCCTTTCTTGACACATACTGACTTTAAAATATCCATAATAATTAGACTCAACAGGCCAAGAATGAACTTTCTCCTCCCACTGAATTAAAGGCTTATTTATACAACCCTTGATAATGGGGAGGAGCAAAGGCAATCACTCTGTTTGGATCAATATGTACCTCCCAGGGCAAAACCCCCTGTTTGAGTCCTACTATTTCAAGGCTGGTCACCTCTATTAAAAGCAACTCATCATTTGTGACTACTGTGTTGAGATACCATCTAGATAGGCACTGAAAATGCCTGTGATTATTTTTATAGGATGAAAATATAAGTGGTAAGCCCCAGTCCCCGCTCATTTTCAGTGTGTGACCAACCCCTACAGAGATGGCACTGCACAGGGGCAGAGCTCAGGGGCAAAGCTCAGGGGCAGAACTCAGGGTCAGGAGCCAGGGGACGTGTGTGGGTTTTGTTTCTAGACAGGTATTTAACTTGCATAACTATTTCACTCCTCCAGGCCTCGAGGATAGGACCAAATGATTCCTAAGTTTCCTTCAAGCTCTACTATTCAATGGCTAGTGTTTCTATGGTCCTGTATTTGGAAATCTTTATGGTGATAGCTCCAAAGCAGGGACAGAGGTCATGGCTAGGACTGAAGACCCATCCAACCAGTCTTCTTCCCCAATTTGGAATCAGAATTGAAGGAATCCAATTCGAGCAGCATCCAAACTTGAATCCTGAACATGTTAAGGGGACAACAAACAAGTGAAAGAAACACAGAAAATATCCCTTTCCAAATTAGCAGCCACCGTCGCATAGATAATTATTTCTTTGGGGTATCTGAGCTGTGGCTGTACATACCATGTCAGAGAGAATAGTTCAAATTATAAAAGAGCACGAGCAAAATGCAGACCGCACAGAGAAAGAAATCTTTGGTATCTTTGGTGTCATCAACACGATTAAAATTACAAATGGAAAAAGTCAGTGAGGTAGCCTTCTTTGGTTCTCACTAGAAATAGAAAGTTTTTCCTTTTTTTCTTTTTTCTGCTTTTTTTTTTTTCCTTTTTTGTTTTGTTGCTTTACACACACACACAGTTCATTCTTGGAAGCAGCTAGTGTAAGGGTTTCTCTCTTTTTGCTTATGCTTTTTATTATTTATTTATTTTTCCAGTTTCTGTATAGAAGCCCCGAATCCAGGCTGGTGAAGCAGGTCTCAGCTTACATTTTCTGAATGCACAGGTTCAGGTTGAACAGTCATTGCTTGTCCACAAAATTTGCTCTGTTGTTCTGACAGCAAACACACTGTTGTTTTAAATAAAAAATATAAACTATACAGTGCACCTTTCACAGATGCTGAATAAGTTAAATAAATAAGTTACAATAGGAAGGCTCTGAGGGCCCCAATAATTAAGAGGTGAAGTTCGCCTGGTACCAGGTGGGGCTGCGAACTTAAATTAAATAATTTAATAATTGTTACTTAAACTATTTAAGAAGTTAATTCAAGAAGGAAAAATACCCCGAATTATTTTTCTTTGTAACTTGTATTTCTTCCCTGTCTGTAACAGAATTTCACTGCTTCATAAAGCAAACTAAACTTCGAGAGTATTCTAAATAGGATTTTGCATCTCTGATGCACCATTGGTCTAAATTTTGATAAATAAGTACTAGGAGTAAAGTCAAACTAAAGAAGATTAATTAAATAATTACCCAAATCCTATACACTTGCATACTAGAAACTAATGTATATAAATTAATTACATGAAGGGTACTTAACTTGTTGGGTCATAACCCGAAGAGATATGATTTAAAAAAAAATTTTGTCTGGAGGGGGGGTCTTCATTTTTCGAATGACAAACTGTATAACCTTTTTCAATAGTCTCAATAAAAATAAACAAGGAAACAATAACTTCTAAAGCTTTCTTGTGTTAAAGATCATTTAAATGAGACAAGCATGAAAAAAAATCACCACTCCCCCTAGCTAGCACAGCCTCTGCAGGACCTTGTCACCATCATCCCAACCCTGAAAAACCAGAGCCCACTTTCATTCATCCCATTGGTTTGCACTTGACTTTGCTATTTTCCTTTCTTTTTCTTTTTTTCTTTTTTTAAAAATTTTTAAAAAATCCTTTTTCAGGTCTTTGGATTTAGCTTTAGTTATGAGAGATCCAGATTAAAGCTATTCAACCGAAGTTATCAAGCATAGGTGTCATTCTAACAGATGATTAAAGAATATCCATGATTTCTGAAAGTTGAGTTTATCTTGGGTGTGCCCAAATGAACATAATTCCAAGCTTACACAATGAAAATGCTGGAAAAAAATTTTTTTTTTCTGCACTTTGGTTTTCAGTGTTACAATAAATAATGAAAACAATGTACATTGTAGAAGTACCACATACATGTTAAACGATGATTTAAAATTTATTTATTGTAACAGATTACAGTATGTGTGTACTAGACATATGTATACATGTGTACACAGTCTAGACACGTATAGGTAATGTATGTTATATCTATGAGAATACATGTCAAAATATGTATCTAAATCTGCATACATCCAAGCAAACAGACCGTGTAAGCCTTAGGCAGACTTATCTACTAAAGTTTATGCTATGAGAAAAGCTAGTTGCTAAAATGGAGTAGAGTGGAAGACTTCCATGGAATGAACAAACCTGTAGCAATGGGTTTTTTATACACATTTTCCCTACTAAAAAGGTTTTAGCTGGTTAATTTCAATCAACCAAGCTCAAAAATCTATAGGGAAAGCCTGGGCTCTAGTTTTAACTTACCTCAGACTGCCAGAATCATTTTGGTATCTGAGACAATGAGTCTTTAACATCACACAATAGCCCATCAGCCTCAATTATGTTTTGTATTCTACCTATATGAGATCCTATATTATTTTAATAAGTATTTTGTATTTTATAAAGTTTTCTGGGGCTTTATAAAACAAACCCTCTCCACATTCCCTACCTTGGAAAGAAACAAATCATTGATAGAAAATAGACACTGGGACATCCATATGTAAAGACAACATTATCTTATGACATCGTACAACACGCTGGGGTTCCATTCTTCCTTTAGTAAGGACTTTCTGTGGTCTGATTTCAAAATTAGCACCTCCTGTTGTTCCAGTGGTGACTTCGTCTTAGCTAAAGGTACAAAATTATTAAGCTATCCAGTTTTGCAGATATGTATTAGAAAGCTAGAAGTAGACCAGCTCCATCCCTTCTTCTTTCTTCCTCTCCCATTACCTACCCACTCTTCCTGGTTTAGCTACCAAGTCTGAATCACACAGCATCAGCAGCAACAACAAAAAGGCAGCTCTGATCTATTTCAAACGGAAGAGTTATCATCCAAGTACTTGGTCTGGGCCTTGTGGTCAACCTTGCTCTCGTATCTCATCTCTTTCTCTCCAGTTTTTAATAGGGTGCATTATTTCACAATACTGAAACCCAGCCCGTTTTTAGATTTTAAAAAATTTCACTCTACAACATCCTGAAAATCTGAGTTCACTACAAAGACATACTGTCATAACACTTTGGTAACGATCATCAAACCAGTTCTATAATTCTACCTCCATTTTCAAAAGCAGGAAAGTTTCTCCTTGTACTAGTGATTTAAAAAATAAATAAATAAACAAAATGTTTATATTTAATTAATTGACACTAATAGGTTAATGCCCAGCATAGCAAGGTAAACTGGTTGATAATTTAAAAAACTTATATTTGGCTTTGAAATGTATCATTTGACTTAAGAAATGCACATGTGTGTGTGCCTACATGGCTATCAGATTTACCTTCCTAATTATAATTTCACTTTAGCTCGTAATGAAAATTAGTTTGGATTTCCTAAGCTCACAATTACAAAGAGCTGTGGGAAGAAAGGAGCTAAGAGACAACTGTGGTTCCTCCAGATCAAGTGGAGTCCTCTAACTCAGTCAAGCCTGGACCTTTACGTGATACAACCCAAACACTCATTAACACTTTGGAAGAGCTTTTAAATATTGGTGTTGAGTTTTTATGGTTGCTAATGTTTTCTTTTTAAAAAGAAAACTGAATTGCCTTTTATTTTTCATTTCCTGGAATGAAAGAAGTATGTCCCCAGCACGAAAATCACATTTAAAAAAATAAATAAATAAAGTGAATCTATTTATGGAAAGGAATAAAGAAAAATATATTTCTACCCCATAGCCGTGACCATTTAATTTCAGTTGCCTCCAGAAAGTGAAATCTCATTGATAACTGTTCCTTCACACTGTCCTTTTTGTTGCTGATGGCTGAGGCATGCCTGGAATTTCTCTCGGACTGAGAAAATGGATCTTAAACTATAACCAAGTTCAAATTGCTATTTTCTCTGAGAGTATTAACTTATAATAACTTTAAAAATTCTTGAGAAAACTCACTGGGTTAAATTCTATTACCTTTCAATATAGCAAGCTTTTACTTTCAGATTTCTAATACATTGAAATTCAGTAGGGCTTAAAATTTTGATACATAAATGTATAGTTACACATATGTATTTATGTATGTATGTAAATATATATATATATATATTTTAAAGCAAGCACTTTCCTTTAGCATAACATTATCTTATATGAGACATTTACTAAAAGTCCTTGGAGGGAAATTTTTGCCTTTTTCAATATTATGACATCTTCCTCTGGTCACTAGAGGACCAGCTGGTTTGACCAGTGTTGAAATGCAGGCCACAAAAGCAGCCTCCTTTGGTCTAGACATCTTCAGAGAATGCCAAAGACCCAAATACTGAGATTTGTGTGTCAAAGAATCAGTAACCACACTAAGCAGGCTCAGTTCCTCAACCTAACCTCGAGAAAAACAACTAGTTTTATTGGTCAGAAGTCACAAAGACTCATTTAGAAATACCCAGGTTGAAATTCATCTTTGTCAACTCATATGGGAACAATCCCCTACATTCCTTAGTCCTTAGAGAAAGAATCATGAGCAAGGGACAAATGGACATGTAGGAAGAGTCTAGGAATAAACCCCCAAAGAATTAAGAAAATCAAGAAGGGCTGTGTTCTCTCACAGCTCCATGCTGCAAAGGGAGACTTGCATCCTAAGAACGGGGAGGTGGCACACATGGAGCTCTCCAGGGGCAAGACTCTAGGGCTCTCCCACAAACCTGCTTTATATTTTCTGTCCAAGATCAAGGTCCCCAACATCACCACCACTGCCCCGCCCCAGTGCCTGCTGTGGTTGTATGTAGGCTTGGCAATACAAATTGGTAATTACTATCCTGAGGAAACCTGATCAACCCATTGCAACAGGAGCTGGACTTCCCTTACAAGATGTCCACTGGTGGATCTATTCACTGAGTGGGACCTGAAATACCTTCATGGACAGGGCAGCTCCTGGAGAACAGATTTCTGAGCTGGCCTCATGTCCCCTTACTGGTGGAAATGACCACTGAGCCTTCCCAGGAGTTACAGAAGATGAGCCCACCATTCTGGGCTGGGTCTGACGGATGTACCTTCCTCACCACCTTGACCATGGTTGAGGTATAGCATAGAGATGACTCCAAATACAGATAAAACTCATTTACACCATGGGTCCATTTATCAACAGGTTAAATGTTGAAATGCTTGAACTTGATCTTAAACCTTTCCCAGAAATTTTCATAGAAATCTTAATACCCTATATCATCCGCAGTGGCAAATGAACTCAGGAATGACATGAGAAATGAGAAGAATTCTGCATTGAATACTTGACCAATGAAGCACTTGACAAAAACAAGACATGAATTTGGACAGCAATAATTTTGGGTTATCACCAATGTCAAGTTGATCTATATATGTATTCATATATTATATATATCTTTCTTTAGAAATGCAACTTTCACAGCTGATTTTTAAAAAGCTAATAGAAAAGTAGAAACTGGTCATTATTTTTACATGTTTCCCCCCTCCCCACCCCAAATGAAGCCCTGTTAGGATGTAGCAATCACATGAAGACGAGGCTGTAAATTCCCCTATAAACTCTTTGGTTCTGTGGCTTGGGAGAGGATGTGTTGCCAAGACCCCTACCCCTGACCCTCACTCCCCTTCCCTCCCCTGATGATGAGACTCTGAACATATAAGGGACCAAGTCTAAGGGTTAAGCAAAGAACATTCAAGTGACAGTATCATTCCCCACACTGCTGAGCAGAGAGAAAAGAATCATTCAGTATCCCAACATCTAAAACTTAGACTCTGTGGAACCTTTTGAGAGATTCCATGGTGGGGTAAAAAGCCATAAAACAAAATTAAAGGGAAACAATAAAATCAAATAAATGACCCTTTCCTTTTGTTGCTCAGAGAAACAAAATTGATTACCTTTATACAGATCAATGGCGCTATTAGTATTTTAGCCAGGCAAGAGGAGATAATGAACTGAAACAAAACATGTGAGAAATCCTCATCTTTGGTATTGTAGCTGTTGAGGTTTCTGTTGCTCTGTTCCGTGTTCTTTTGAAAAACTGCATAGGCACAAATTAAAGACAATCTTCAACTTTAAGATTACCGCGTGAGTTGGCAAATGAAGCAGCAGCCACGGAGGCTCTTCTTTATTTCTGTTCTTGTCTCAACCCTTTCTTTAAAATCTGCTTCCAAAATAATGTCCCAAGAGGTCTGTCTGAACACAGTGTGTCTCGCTGTTTTTGGATTTTTATTTTCTCTTCTGGCGTGCTTCCTTCTTGGTGGTGGTGATTTCCACTGATTTACGGATTTATTTATTTATTTTAATGGGACAGTTGTTGGTTGTAGAAGTAGGTGCAGAAAAAGTTTCTTTGGTTTCGATTAAGTAATTCATAAAAAAGTCAGTCTCAAGTGTCTGTAAAGAATCATTGCAGCGTTTGGCTTGCTTTGAACACGCCCACGGTGCCCAGCTGGGGCCATTCACTGGTAAATATGCACATTGTGACCTTCACAATCTCCCTGTCCTCTTGCTCTGGGAAGGTGACAGCCAGAAACCAGGGCTGGCATGGTAAAGCCACTCCCTGGGTGGCGTGGCGAACGTCCTTGGCGTAGCTGGTTTGCTCAGCCCGATGGTGAGCCAAATGCAAGAGCTGAATGCCATTTGGAGTTGCAGAGGTTTTCTGATTTCTAAAAGTAATCACAGTATTTTTAGGCTAGAAAATGGCAAGTAATAAATGTCTTTGGTTTGCAGTATTCTGCTTCTTTGGTGTGCTGTGTTTTCTCCAGATTTATTCAGCTGTTTTGCAAGGATGATTCAACAATGGAAGAGATTTAGGACTAGATGGCGTATGAGTAACGTGTATGGTGGTTTGATTGATTCTTTTCCTTGCTAGAAAACACTGAAAACATCCTTACTTATGGGATGGATGAGAGAATAACCCAAATCAAAAAGAGTGAGAATAAGTTACATGATAATCACAACGCACAATAGGAGGAACCAGATGACTGGTAAACCAAAAAGGATATATTAATGATCTAAAAGAATCTAGATCTTTTAAAATGCTGCATTTGCTCCATGTACCGTAACAGTTAAATTGGCCTCCTGAGTGTGCGTCTGCATTATGTACAAACAGAATTTGTAGCAAACTGCAAAATGTGCTTGAAGCCATATTCCCAACGATTTCCCTAATGACTTCATAACAGGCGTCTTGAAAATCCAGATGCAGTGGTTCCAGAACCTTCCTTATTTCTGTTTATCTTCGTTGTGCTTGATACTTTGAGCTCAAGTGAACTGATTTGGTTTTTGACGGATCCAAGACCACATGATATTTCCAGGAGGTAAAAAAAGAAAAAAAAATTGTAAACTGGATCAACTTAAATCTTCCTAAACCATTTAATGAAAAGATGCCTGAGTTGGAAAAACAGGTCCTTGGATTTTTTTTTAAACTTCCATATTTAAAACTTGTGCTCAGTAATTACCATTCTGATGTTTTTTTGTGTTATGGCTGTGAACTTTGGTGTACTGTGGTATAATGAGGCTAAGCACTTGGAAAGCAAATGAGGTCATTCTTGTGGCTGGATTCTTCTCTTGTTGTAGCATCATGGAAGCCTAAACTCAGAGTCCTTACACAGGCCAAATTCACACTGTTACTTGTGGGAACTCTGACTGCAAGAGGTTGACAGGACCTGAAGTGGGACTGCTGACTCTTGAAGCAATCCTGAACTTGGTTGACACCATAATGGAATGAACTCACTCCAAGAAGGCCCCATTTGGGTTTCTGGGATGCTTAGCATGCTCAGAGAACAGTGTCTGGTTCAAAGAGATTAATTTTCAGCTTGCACTTGGAATCTATAGCCATTAAAAACAAACAAATGAAAAGAACACCTGGCCTATGATTACAGCTAGAATAGAAGTTTCTTTTCAAGAGAATTGTGCTTTCAAATCACCAGTGAAGGGCCCCAGCTAAGAATCCGGTGTATTTTTCCTTTGTGTTTTCTTTTGGTGTCTGTTGTCCTTGTGTGGAGGTGACTTGTGCCCAAGTGAGAGTCCTCCCATCATGCTTTGGTACAAGTGCTGGAGGTGGACGAGGAGCCCCCCGTGCTCAGATCGTCTTGCCACTTCTCCAGGCTGCGGCGCCGGGCGTTCATGAAGAAGTTGCTGACGGTTGTGAGCTCCAGGCCCAGCTGCTGGGAAATGGTGATCTGCATCTCCTTGGACGGGCGTTTGTTCTCCTTGAAGATGGCAAAGAGTGTTCGGCGTTGGAGGTCGGTGAACACCAAGCGGGATTTCTTCTGGGAATTGTTCCTGTCTTTGTTTGGTTCTTGCTCTTTGCGTTTGCACGCTTGAAGGGAAA